TAAAAAAGAAGAATGTAGGGTGCTGGAAGATAGAAGTACTGTATACAGAAAATGTACTACAGAGGGGCATAAAGAAAGCGAGTGCAGACAGGGGATCCTCATCTGTCTAGATTGTCATAAAGAGGGCTCGGGAGAGTTTAGGAAAGCCCTGAACATGGCTAGGGTGCTAAAAAAAATTAATAATATATATAGTGGAAGAGTGAAAATATTTTTATTTTTCATTTTATACGAAACAGGCATTCTTGATTAAAATTTAAAAAATTAAAATTTTTGCTTGTCTTTAAAATGCGGTTGGCATGGAGAACTTTTATCTTGCATGTACAGGGTGATCCGAAAATCGGTAAATATAAAAATCGTTCAAGAATAAACTGCCTATATTTTTAACAATACAGAATTATGTTATTAAGGAAAGTTGCTTAGAATTGAGTGGGGGTCATATTTACACAGAGGCTACCTTTGACCTTTAGAAACACGTAGCAATAGTTTATTTTTTCAAATTTCGTCGTGAGAACTTAAGGTAGTTATGACCTAAATGGACACTATACAAGATAATTACGAAACTTTCAGTAAAATTAATTATGCACCTGATAAATACTTTTGCAAAATTTCAGCACTTTTTATCACGTAGTTTCTGAGTTATGATTAATCAAAGTTGACTATATTTAGCATAGGCTTAATGGCGCAAATATAAGTTTCCATCAACATCAATCTGTCTCGCACACAGCTGCGCTCTGTACGACATTGTCAGTTGTCGAAACTACGTGACTCAAATATGAGACTTGCTCGAAAGTTTTCTACTTGAACTCCGTACTTGGGAGGATTAATTTTTTTTAATCTATTTTATAATTTTCCTACCCAGCCGCCGCTGGACCCGCTAGTTACAACGGCGCGTGTTAGTCGCAGCGCATGGACAATTGAAAACTGGGTTATGCATTGTCAAATCTCATAATTTAAAGGAAAGATTATTAAAAAGCAAGTTTTCACACCACTCGCCGTGAAGTACTGCTCTTTGGGATAATTCATCTGATATCGTCTTCTTGCAGCAGAATCGTTTTCTCCAGACAAAAGTAGGCTCTAATTAGTAATCTTTCTTATTCGTATACATTCTTTTTCATAATATCACCCAAAAACTTTAAAACGAAAACAGAAGAATATACTATTACTAGATACTGATTGTGAAACAAATAACTGATAAAGTTATCACAACACCTGCAAGACAATCGGCGGTGCTCGATTCTTAAAAGGGAAGATACAGCATGTAAACGGAACAGCAGAGGCTATCCTCCGTTTTCTTAGTATTGTATTTATTTTGGAATAATTTATTATGTCTACCACTAATTCGTTGCTTAAGTGGCTTAATAAGAAAAATATTGCAAACATGCCATATTTCTTTACATACTCGCCGCCTGTACAGGGTGATTCACCATATTTTGACTCCCCCATTAACTTTTTTGTTTTTAGAGTTGTAAAAAAAATATGAAATACAAAAGTTGCACGATGTTTTAAGAATTTTTCGAAAATGATCGTAGAAAAACAAATTAAGTCCAAACAAAATGACCGCGGATGTTAACTTTGTACCTTTATTCCGATTATGATAAGTCTTATGCAGACGCTACAAGTAAAACTTAGGTAGAGACAAGGGGGCTACTGAACTATTAGAACAAACAATAACCGAAAGAGATATAGATATTGCGGTGTAATGGCAATCGTGAAGACGAAGGAGACTGAAGAGAGAGCTGAGGTGTAAAGCGGGATTGCCCCCTCTTGAAGTTATGCCTAGCGGTAGTACCAAGAAGGAGCTCCTGACGGCGCGAAACGGAAGCAGACCTAATAGTGGCGGGTGAATCGAAAATAGTATTGGTGAGGGGAGGTGTCTGACGGACGTCAGAAAGGACGTAGCTGTCTATTTTAGAAATAAAAGAATACATGTTTCTGAAATTGTTGTGAAAGACGGATTTTTGGCTATGAAACTTTACTCTCATGGGAGGTTATATCTCCCCAAATACCTCATTTGAGGCCTATGGAAACTTTATAGCGACAATGATGGAAGGCATTGACAGAGCGTACCCGATACTAGTACTTGGTGATATGAATGTCAAATCCCAGGAATGGGGCTCACCTATAACGGACAGAAGGGGAGAAATCCTAGTAGAGTGAATAGCGGTGCTGGATCTAGTTGTCCACAACACTGGAGAAGTTACATTTGTAAGAGGAGATTTAGCGTCTCATATAGATGTAACTTTGACCACCCAGCATCTGGCAAGAAAGATGAAGAATTGCAAGGTGTGCAGAAGGGAAGGCTTCATGTGTCACCTGCACATAGTTTTTGATTTGAATTTGAATACTAAGTGTATGTACAACTGCGAGGAGATCTCTAACCAAGGGAAATGGTGACCGTGAGAGGTTGCAGAATGATGTGTACAACGATAAAAAAGGGTATTAAAACAACTGATCCGGCGCGCCAAGGGTAAGGCCTGGAGAGACCTTTGTGAGATGCTTGAGAAGGACGTGTGGGGAGATAGTTACAGAATTGTAAGAGTATGAGTGGACTTAGTCTTCCATTTACACTCACTCTAGACCATCAGAGAGAAATGCAATGCACTGTTCCCGTCTCGGGAAGATAATTGGACGAAACAAGCGCCAGACATGCCAATGCCCTTTTCTTTAGAAGAACTACACGCAGCGAGCGAGAGAACAAGTGCGATACCGCTCCGATGCCGGACAGGACCCGACCCGAGGTCGTGAAGGTACATTGTGTACCAGAATTTGTATTAAAAGTATTAAATACTTTGTTAGTAAGTCAAAACTTTCCAACGAACTGGAAAACGGCAAATGTCGTATTGCTATTGAAAAGTGGGAAACAAATAAACGACCCTGGAGCTTATCGCCCAATATGTTTGTTAAATACGATCTCGAAGTTATATGAAACTGTTAGAGAAACGTCTACGTTTGGAGATTCAGGACAAGGGTGATTTTTCGGAAAATCAGTTCGGTTGTCTGGTCGTAACCTTGGACGTGAGAAACGCCTTCAACTCGGCCCCTTGGGGCTTGATAATGGAAAAGTTACGAGATTTGGGCATATATCGTTACTTAAGAAATATAATCGGATCGTACCTAGAAGATAGGGAAGTCAGAATGAATCAAAATCAATAAGAACATGTCTGCAGTTGTACCTCAGGGTTCCGTGTTGGGACCGACATTATGGAACGTACTTTAGGGTACATCTGGCAGAAGGGTTTACTTTGACCGGCTTTGCTGACGATATAGCAGGTTTGGTCCAGGCCAAGAATATACGTACACTAAACGAAAGGGCAAATGACAGTTTGGAGAGGGTAGATGAAAGGCTGCGGGAACACCATTTGGAGCTTGCGCCTGAAAAATCGGAATCGCTTTTCCTGAAATGCCCAAAAAACATAAGGTTTTGATGTAAAGATTAGGTGAACGTCAATTTACCCAAAAAAACTGTAAAATATCTGAGTGTAATGTTAGACTAGCAAGGTACATTTACTGAGCACGTGAAATATATTTGCAAAAAGGCAGATTGGAGGATTGCTGCACTGAGTAGGATCCTCCCGAATATCGGAGGTCCTAGCGAGGAAAAAAAACGAGTTTTAACAGGCGTGGTGCACTCGATCATGCTGTATGGGACCCCAGTTTGGCATAGCGTAATACGTATAAAAAAAATATAAGAACATGTTGATTAGTGCACAAAGAACGATACTAATAAGAGCTAGCAGTGCATATCGGACAGTGTCAGCGAATACGGTCCAGGTGATAACCGGTAGTCCTCCTATAACATTGCAACTAGATAAAAGGAATAGATTGAACGAGATAACGGGAACACGGACAAAGCCAGGAAAGAGGTCAGAGATATTACAATAGGGAAGTGGCAGGATATATGGGAAGATAATAAGGAAAACGCGCAGTGGATAAAAGAGTGATTCCTGATAAATTGTTAGCACAGGTGCATAGACTACTTCTTGACGCAGTTCCTGTCGCCTATCTGCATAGAATCGGCAAAAAGGGTGATGAGATCTGCTTCTACTGCGAGGCAATAGACACGGCGGAACATACCGTGACAAGTTGTTCAAGATGGAATAATGAAAGGCGCGAATTGGAGGGAATTGTAGGGGAAAGAGCGAGTCGAAAATCTAATGGCTTGCATGTTGTCATCGAAGCGAAACTGGGGACTTATCCACGACATCATAAAACGTAAGAAGGAGTAAGAGGAAAGGAATATGAGCCTTTCCGTGATATCGATGCATGCCAAAAATGGCGATTCCGAGATCACAGGATGTGAAAAAGGTAGGGAGGGGTTTTAGCCGGCAGGCGTCCGGCAGTCAACATTCGCGACGTAACTACACGATGTATTTCTCCTTTGAAAAAAAAAATAAAAAAAAATAAAAAAAGGTTAGGTTAGGTTCCCCTCGCTGTGCTCTGAAAAAAAAGGTTTGATTAGGTTCCCCCCGCTGTGCTGATACGTTGACGTCGTTGGGGGGCTTAGTAACAGTATGCTCCATGATTCCGAGAGCAATGCCGGATGGGTGGAACCTACTGGCTTCGATCGAGGAGGAGAGCAGAAATGAAGCATTTAGCTTCACACACACACTCACCGTTCTCTCTTCTTCTCTCTTCTCTCGTTTAGCATCTTTTCTTTCACTCATCCTTCATCATTACCTACCCTTTCTTCCTTCCTATTTTCTTTGTTTCAGCGCTTGCTGTCAACTAGGGCAGGACCTCTATTTTGTTACCTTCCTTTGCCTTTCTTGTTCTTTCCGGTTCCGATGCTATTAGGTTACCCGAGGGCTAGGGACCTCTATTTTCTCTCTTCCTTCTTGTCTATGAACGGATTGACGTCTATTGGCTATGAATCAGGAGCCTCTTCTTTTCTAAACATGGAGGGACAGACGAAAAGAGAAGACGTTAGGAGCAGGGGTCGGAGCCCCTAGTTCCGGATGGTGAGGGTGACGGTAGGCCAGGTTCCCCCGTCCGTCAGCCAGTTACTGGCCAACACCCCTGGTAGGCGACCAGTCCGGGGTGCTAAGCACAACGACTGGAAGGGGAGGTGGAGACATGACGTTTGGTGAGGACATTATGGAAACGATGTAGCTAGTGAAGCGCAGGGAGTCTTTGACGAAGTTTCGTTTTGATCCCGGTTCTGGAGTGTCGGTATCAGCCCCGACGTCTCCTAATGTGTCCACGCTGGACTTAACCTGGGACGAAGAACAAGAAAGATCAGTCAAAAGGAAAAGATGGGGTGAGGGACCCGGAATATCGTTGCAGGAAAATGAAGTCCTGATGGCTGACGTGTGATTGGCAAATACCTTTAGAAGGGTACTGGGAGATGTCAACAAGGAGACAACAAAATTCGCCGAACTGGTTAGGGAGCGCAATACTAAAAGAAAAATTAGGGATGTTATCAATAGGCTCACTAGTATGATGAGCCGGCTTACTTCAACCATAAACCAACAGCTCCTGGGGAAGCTACGTCGAATGCGGGAAACAGAAAAAACTGCAATAGACTTAGAAACCCAGGCGAACGAACCTGGGGAGAACTTGCGTGGGAGAATAACTAATTTGGAAAGGCATATGGAAATATTAACTGATGAAAACAGTGGGCTTAAGGAGGAAATTAAAGGTCTTAAACAGAGGAGTGCATAGTTGAACAGAGAAACGAGGGCAGATGCCGGGACGCAGACGGTGAACTCGACCCTAAGTGATGAGAGTTGCCAGGCGGAAAATAACGCAGTAGAAATAAATGAAAGAATTCGGGAAGTTAGAGATTACGAAGGATATACAGAGATTGCAGAGTTAAAATGGCCAGGAAGCTACTTCCTAAAAACTAGAATAGGGAAAGAAGCCCTATGGAAAAAGACCCGGAGGCTGAACTAGTGGTTATTAAGGAAACTAGAAATAGGATACCACAAAAAGGTGAAGGAGAGCGGTATATACATACCGGAGGGGATGAAAGGAAGACTTTCCAGGTACTCCAGAAAGCATATGAAGAAACAGGGAAGAGTACTTGCCGTGATGGGAGTGAGGGAAAAGAACGATGAAGAGAATGTCGCAAAAATGTTAGAATGTATATTGAGGAGGGAGAATATTAATATAGACATATACAAGATCGGAAAACCAGCAGTTGAGAGAACGAGGAAAGAATTTAAGAATGCGGCAATTGTGGTTAGTCAGGAGGGGTGTATAAAGAAGTATTGCAGAAAGTCAAAGAGGAGGTGAAAGGGGCGAATATGGATACAGAAGTGGCGAGTATCAGAAAAACGCAAAAAGGGGAGCTCCTTTTGGAAACGGAAGATAAAGAAACGGGAGCCTAGATAAAAGAGATTATACATACGAAATTGAAGGATATGAAGATAAGAGAACTGGGGAAGGATAGAGATACATTATAAGGGATATAGTGTCACACTCCGTATGTCCCTTGTGAGAAAGAAAATAAATAAAATTCAGGGACTATTGAAGTAAATCTATTTAGTTCTAACCCACACCAAAATAGTCTATAGTAAGCAAACTTTTAAATGGCGAAAAGGTCCAAATTGTAGCGTTACACTTCTCACGGTCACGTGTCCGCAGAAGGCACTCTTGTCTTGCGTGTTTCAACGAGTTGCGACGGATGATCACTGTGGAACTCTCGTATCAACGAAGCTAAAAACAATTTTTTATTATTTTTTAGAAAATCCCTTTTTTGAAGTTTCTTTCTGTCACTCCTCAATCATCAAAAGCCTTCTTGAAAAATATGACGATAAATTTTTGGAAATAAATAGATTAATAAGCAAAGAAACTTAACTACTACTAAACGATATAGTGGGATAAATGTAGATGTCTCAGAAAATCGTGTTTTCTGACACGCCACTCCTTTGAAAACGCGAAAACTTTGGACCTTTTTACCGTTACACTTTATTTGTAACGACAAAAAGTAACATTTTTACAATTTGTGCCTTGAAGAGGCGAAACAAATCTAAACAAACAATAAGGAAATTAATCGAAGTTTCCCTACCGGACGTCCAGAAACTTCAGTCCTTATTGGTTGAAGGTTGCCGGTGCCTGGCGTATTTCCAGCGGTCCCTGTCCCGACGTAGACGGTACTAGTGACCTTTGATCGCCCGGCAGAGATCTATCCCGAAATAGATCTCTGCATCGTTGGGTTCTGGGTTACCAACGGGTGCAGGTCTCAAATCGTCAATGTGGATATTCACCACCGTGCCATTCTTCTCAACCCCAAAGAGTTCAGGAGACAGCTGACTGGTCACGATGAAGGGACCAGGTGTTGCCGAATCCTCCCTTGGATGAGGCACCCTCGCGTGTCATCACTCGTTGACCTAAACGGAAGGTTACCGGTGGTTGACCTCTTGCATCGTACCATCTGTTCTGAAAATCTAGGTGGCGTCGAATTACGTTCTCCAGACGGGTTGGTCTTGCTTGTTTCCGTTGTCTTTCTGCCAGGTATTCGGGAATCTCCCACTTTCCCTCTCTTGGGAGGCGGTACCCTAGGAGCACCTCGCTGGGTGACATTCCAGTGGCGGCGTTGACACGTCCCCGTAAAACTTGCAGAACTCTTGGAAGTTGCAAATCCCAGTTCGTCTTCCGATGTTGGTTGTGTAAAAGAGCCCTCATGACCTTTTTGAGCTCTTGAACCCTTCTTTCAACCGGATTGCTTTGCTGGTGGTAAACCGGAGAGTAATATATGGTGATGTCGTGACTCTGGCACAATCTTACATACTTATCGCCTTTGAAGATTCGGGCATTGTCGGATATTATGGTTCGAGGGTAGCCGTAGCGCGCGAAGATCTCGTTCTCCAGGAATCTAATGAGGGTACTACTGTCCACCTTTGGCGCGGGTACGGCCTCTGTCCATTTGGAGAAGATGTCCTCGACAATGATAACGTACTTATTGCCTCTGGGAGTCTCTTGGAATGGTCCAAGTATGTCAATACTGATAGTTTCGAATGGTTCCCGAGGGGTGTGTGGCTTGAGTGAAGCTCGTGGTTGTACCTGGTGAGGCTTCACAGCTGAACACACGAGGCAGTTTCGTACGTAGTCCTGAACTCTTCGAACCATGTTTGTGAAATAGTACCGTCTTTAGATCTGTCGTGTTATTTCTTCGGCCCCCGGATGTGCGCTTTCTGGCACGTCGTGGTGCTGGTAGATAATCCGTTGAGTCATATTCTCTGACACTACCAGTTTATCCCCGTCTGCGGTCGTTCGGTACTAGGCAAAATCTCTAACCTTGTAATCTTTGAGGTCCCTATTCTCGGGTTCCTCCGTAGTTTCCAAGCGTTGAGCTGCTCTTCGCCGAACTACTTTGTCGGAGATGTCTAGATCTCGTCGTTGAGCAGCTTTAACTTGTTCATACAGACTAAGTTGGGTGATGTGGTTCACTGCTGGGACGTACATGCGGTCTTCTGGTACTTCTTCAGTAGAGTTGTCAGCTGGGTTACGACTGAGAAAGTCTGCGAACTGATTCTGGGTTCCAGGGCAGTGTTCAATGGTATAGCTATACCCCTGGAGGAGCAAAGACCATCTCGTTAACTTAGCCTTGGTGTCCTTACACCGGTCTAGCCAACCTAGACAGCTTTGCTGTCGGTCCGCAAAATAAAATGACGATCCTGGAGGATGTTCTTATATTTTCGTATAGCTGTCAGTACGGTTAATACCTCAGGCTCGTTAATGTGTAGTTTCTGTTCGGTAGGGCTTAGGGTGGAGCTGTGATATGACACAATCTTCTTCTGCCCATTTTATCTCCTGATATAGGACAGCCGATATAGCCCTTTCATGGACGCATGTGTTTGCAATATGAATGTCTTGCTATAGTCTGGTCTACTTAGCTGCAGTGGTTTGCTTACTACCTCTTTGATGGTGTCAAACGCCTCTTGGCATTTGGAGTTCCAACAGTACTTGGCTTCTTTCTTAAGTAGCCGAGTTAATGGCAAAGTTAATTCTGCTGCATTGGGTAAGTATTCTCTTATCCAGTTCAGTAAGCCCAGAAACTTTTGAAGTTGCCTCTTCGTCTTAGGTTCCGGGTAATTCTGTAGGGCCTTTAGGTATTTCTCCTGTGGCACGGACCTATCGCTGGTTATATGGTAACCAAGATAGTCAAGGTGTGCCGCTCCAATCCTACATTTCTCCGGAGAAATCTTCAGATTGTGGATACGGAGACGTTCAAACACTAGTGTTAAGTGTTTCCGATGCTCGGCCATGTCATTACTGTAAATAATAATGTCATCTAAATACTCATGGACGAACACGTTGACGTATCCCGCCAAGACCTCCCGTACCATGAGGTTTTGGAAAGTGGCTGGTGCATTTTTCAACACAAACGGCATTACGTTGAATTGATACGCCGCTCCGTCTGGCGTGGAGAATGCTGTATACTTTTTGCCGTCTTCTGACATGGGAATCTGCCAATAACCACTTTTTAAATCAAGAGTGGAAAATACATTGGTGTTTCCAAATTATTTCAAGATGTCGTGGATCTTGGGCAATACTGCTGCTTCATCAACGGTGATGGCGTTCAATTTCCTATAGTTCACACAAAACCTCGGTTTTTTGTCTGGTCGTTCAACGATGACTGGAGGCGAGTTGTACGGGGAGCTTGAAGGTTCTATTATCCCATCTTCCAGCATTTCTTGCACTTGCTCGTCCAGTATCTGTTTCTTTTGTACTGACATCGGATAAGGCCTTTGGTAGACCGGTTTATCCGACTGCAGTCGTATAGTATGTTTGACGGTCTGTGTAGTTGCTGCACCCGGGACATAAACAAATAGATCTTGAAATTCTTCGCAGACGGGCCTCAACTCCGGAGGGGTCTTTAAAGTGTCTGGTAGCGTCACAGGACTCTTAGCCTTCCTTGTGTCAACGCTCCAGAATACTGTCTGTCGTTGGTTCTTTCCCATATATAAACATTTACGGGTGAAATCCATAATCACTCCCTCTTGCATCATGAAAGACATCCACAAAATAATGTCTTTGTTGAGGCCAGGGATGACTTGAAATTGGATCGAATATAACCGACGTTGCCGAATGTACATCTCAGAGTCACGATTGCAGTAGAAGCGACGGTTTTATCCCCGCATGCCATTCTGAAATCCTGGGACGACTCGGTTTGGATGAGGTCGACATTACGGGATAAAATGTCACTACTTACTAAATTCAGAGACGCTCCTGTGTCACTAAGGCTCTGTACTTCTTTCCATCGACGGTAATCTGCACACGTGGTTCGCTGGTCTTGAGTTGGTTGATAACTAGTTGTGTTTTTAGGTCAGTTTGGACGGCAATCTCCCTGGTGTTGCGCTTCTCGGGAGTCTCCCTGGATGGTTCCCCTGAAGCTGCTTCCTCTACTGGTCGATGTATGGTAGCACATCTGGTGACTCGGCATCGTGGTGCTATGGTCTGGGTTTGATTTTGTCGAGAGCTGGGTTGGCGGTTCGTTGGTGCATATGTTCGCGGCATTCTGGATTGGGCCGTTGTTCCCGAGTCGACTGCTGCTGCATATAGCCGCGAGGTTCCGGGGCCCTTTCTAAGTTTAAAGGCCTCTGCTGACCTTGAGTGTAAGGGTTAAATGGGCATTCCCGATTATAGTGCCACTCTTGGCAAAATTTGCAGGGCGTCGGTGGACGACTGACTGGTAAAGGTCGACAAGGTACAGCCGAGTGAGGGTCGGACCTCTTCATCCTTCTCTCGGGCTTCCTCTGACAGGATAGTTGTTGATTGTTGGTGCTGTATTTGGTCGCATTACTGGAAGGTGGATTAGCGTAAACTTTCTTCCAGTAAAAAGCCTCCTCCTGGACATCAGACTCGGCTTTCACGGCGAAATTTATCACTTCTATTATGTCTTGGCACGTGTGACTGCGTACCCTAGACATAATGGGTGGCAGGAGCTGGTCTATCAAAACTTGCACTATCACTTCCTCCCCTATGTTTGGACTCATCCTAGCAAATAGGCTGCGTTTGCGTGGGATGAATACTTCGACGCTTTCTTCAGGCCTTTGCTTCTCGCCATACAACTGGGAGATTGCGTTGGACTGATCGGTTCTATAACCGATATGCGCAAGTATAACTCTATAGTTATACTTGCGAGTGAAGCTTTCTCGCAACGCCCTATATGATAGTGTGATTCCTTCAAAGGCTTGTGCCCACGTCTTGGCTGAGTCTCGTAGCCGACCCCGGAAAATTTCTATCTTTCGATGATCTTCAGTAATTTGGTTATCATCGAAGAATTGCTCTATGTATTGCACAAAGGTAAGCGGATTTTCATGTATAAGACCGGAAAATGTCTGTGTTGGCTTTTCACGACGTATGTTCATTTTAGTTACTTGCGTTGTGAATTGTTGCAAAACTCCGTTACTACTGGCTAGCGCAAGCATTGCATCTTGTTGTGGAGCCATACTTATCGTAGAGGTTTCTTCGCGTATCGCCACTTGAGGACTTAGACGCGGTGGTACCAGGACACCCGCGAAAACATCCTCGTCTCGGCGTGTAGTATTTACCATGGGGTTAGGAACTACGCTAGGGTACTCGGCTCGCCCTGAACCGATGGAGATCTCAAAGGGGCTTATCGTAGTCATTTTAGAACACAATAAAAATAGAATATTAGAAATTGTCCTCAGGGTAATAAGAAATTCAATATGTCCCTTTTTATTCTTTAAGTCCCTGCTCGGGCGCCATGTCACACTCCGTATGTCACTTGTGAGAAAGAAAATAAATAAAATTCAGGGACTATTGAAGTAGATCTATTTAGTTCTAACCCACACCAAAATAGTCTATAGTAAACAAACTTTTAATTGGCGAAAAGGTCCAATTTGTAGCGTTACACTTACAGGGTACACTTCTCACGGTCGCGTGTCCGCGGAAGGCACTCTTGTCTTGCGTGTTTCAACGAGTTGCGACGGATGATCACTGTGGAACTCCCGTATCAACGAAGCTAAAAATAATTTATTATTATTTTTTAGAAAATCCCTTTTTTGAAGTTTCTTTCTGTTACTCCTCATTCATCAAAAGCCTTCTTGAAAAATCTGACGAAAAGTTTTTGGAAATAGATTAATATGCAAAGAAACTTAACTACTACTAAACGATGTAGTGGGATAGATGTAGATGTCTCAGAAAATCGTGTTTTCTGACAATAGATGGACTATCTAATAAAGAAGAGGTTCTTGAAGCAATAAAGGATACGGCCACGGAAGGGGATAAACGGGAGAACGTAGAATTAATATCGCTCCGGCAAGCGTTTGGTGAATGCCAAACCGCTAGTGTGAGGATGGACAAAGCCTGGGGCGACAGGATTATAGAGAAAGGTGGTATTAAAATTGGAATGGCGAAGTGTAAAATAAAACCATGGGTGAAAATATTATAAATGTTGGGGATTCGAACACGATGCTAAAGTCTGTAAAGGAACCGGGCATACCCAAAATGTGGCAGGTATGGACATATTGTAGCGGAGTGCAGCGAAAATAGTTTCTGTCCCTATGTCAAAGGGAAGTGGAGCATGCCCGAAGATGAGGGATATGCTAACTAAAATCATAAGGAAAAAATCAAAATGGTGAGATGCTTGCAGGGCAGCGACGGACTTAATGCTGCAACATGCGATAGAATATTAGGGTGTGGCTCGAATGCGGTCACAGAAGGGGGGATTATTATTTAACCCAGTTCCTTTCGGGCCATGGGTCATTCAAACAATATACTTATAGAATTGGGAAAGCTGAAGGAGAAGAATGCGTTGAGTGCGGACAATGGGATACCCCAGGTTACTCGGTGTTTGAATGTACGAGGTAGGATACAGACAGGGAAGAATTGCATGGTCAGCTCGGAGTGGTCCTTACTGCGGATAACATCATTAGCGAAATGCTGAGAGGGCGAGGGATCCGGAGCTGGAAGGCTGTCAGAAATTATATTGCCACAGTGTTAGAAACGAAGGAAATGGGAGAGAGAAGGCAGGAAAACTAACGGGGCACTCTAGATGCTGATGAATGTCCAAGGACGGTGCCAACACCTAGGTTGAAGAAAGGAGAGGGGTTTTAACCGGTTAAAGTCCAGCATCACCTGGGCCGATAGAACATAAATGA